TCCCTCTATCATTTCTGTGGTCATCATCCCAACCAAGGATGTGGAACCCCTCCACACACCCCACCAACCTGCAACAAACAAGAAACCTCCAGCATGTATAGATCAGATGCCAAGATGTTCCTTCCTTTTGTATCAGGTAAGCAGCCTTTAAATATTAACTTTATTGCTTGGTGGTAGTGGTGCTTAGAGGGGAGAAAGCAGGAAGGGACAGAAAGTTTTAGAGCAAGAGATTTTATCACTGATATGTTTTAAACTATGATATTCTATAAGATTCAAAACCATAACTTTAAGCAGTCAAAACCAGTAAGTTGAAGTTTACTTATTTCAGCAATTTGTGCAATTTCAATCAATCCTAGTAAACCTTCGTGACCAAAGCAGCTAAATGCACAGGGGTTTGGAAGAAGAAAGTTAGTGGTGGAACAGTGACACCACCACCACACAGAACAGGACAATCCCAAGACAATCCAAAAATCACAGACTACTTACAGTCTTATATAAAGAAATCATCCAAACTTAACCTCTATATCTGACAGATGAAGAAATCCAGCTCACATTTTAGGTTACTGAAGAACAGTTCTACAAAGACTCTGCTACATAGGTAAGAGCATAGGTAAAAAAAAATATCTGACATTACATTTTTTTTATTGGAAATAATACTATCAAATTCTGTAACTTCTACTACCGCTCAACCCCTTCAAATAAATTAACAACTTCTAAGCAGTATCATAACAACCCCCAAAATGTATTTTAAAATCAAGTTATTTCAAGTGGCATACGAGGTAAACCTTAACGGTGCTCCAAAGGCACCACAGAACGGAACAAAGTTAAAATTTCCTCCTTAATCTTACAAGCCCTACCCTCACCCTTGAATGACACTTTGGTGACAATAATATTAACACTTACCCTTTGGAAAAGCTCTTAATGTCTTTTATCAGCTTCCCATGCTCACCTCACCAGCTAACTGCTCAAAGATCCAGTGCATCCCGACTCAACAGCACTTCCTTAAGCATTATTTTATCCAGATCTTCCAAGTGTCAGCTTCATCTTAACTTGGTTGTTCTTCTGGTCTCTGGAGCCTTCTCCATCTTCCTGCCTGTCTGCTCACTGTGAGCAAGCAGAAGTGCTCCTCACCTTGTACATGTCCATGGGACATATTCCACCACAGTTCAAGTTTTAATCTGCACTAACTCCTTCACTAATTGAACCTCTCATCTTCTCAAAGAAACTCTTAAGAATTCTAATGTGATACATACACTTAGTTAACAGTGCTTCTTGGCACAATCAGCTGAGATTAAAACAAGGAAGTAAATACTAATATAACTGTCAAAATGCAGCAAAATAACACCAACTCCTCAGAAGCAGATCTACCAAGACAGACACAAAGTTAAAGCTACTAGTGGACCAGTTGCCTCCTCTCCTAATGAGGACAGTGTGTGGCACTGTAAGAAAACACACACTCCTGGTTCATCACCTCCTAACCCAAGACTGCCAACTGATTACCTGATCTTGCTAGAAAAGAAGTTTGAGTGGGAGAAGATTTCCTGTCTGCAAACATCCTTCACTTCCTTCTTTGAGATGAAGAGCTTTACGTATACACACATACACACACAGGGACTGTAACCCCTGCTTTGAATTGAATAAATTAATTCCACACAACTACCATTTGTAACTGACATAGTTTAGCAAGGACTCCAGATGAGTTATTTAAAAAAAACCCCACCAAAACCTTAACCTTAAAAAAAAAAATAAAAATCACAGTGTCTTGTCTTAAAAAAAAAAAAAAAAGATAAACACACTGCTAAGAACAATTTCTCCAACTTTTTGCCAGGAAAGCAAAGTATTAGAGACATAATTAGCACACAAAAAACATGAATACCTTGTTTCCTTCAATTTTATACCAGCCTTGCTACTTCCCAAACATAAGTTTCTGTACTGTTTAACTTAAATAAAGAAATATAAAGAAAAAGTTGTCCTAATCTTTAAGCAAACAATTTTAAGTACATGCCTTTTCCTTAAAATCTAGCCACAAACTCATTAACTCGTCAAGATCTGTCCTCACTTAAACCCAACCATTCTCACCTAGTCACATTCAATCTCCTCAGTCATACAAGGATCAAAAGCAAAGCAAATGAACAGAAAAACAATGCAAAAAATGCAAAACCATACACACACAAATACAGAACAAAAAAACCCATCACACACATTATAAGCCAGGAAAAAACACATGTAATAACATATCCTAGCCTGGAGACACCAGCTCCTAGCTCTTCAACACCTGGATCTTTCTGCAGAGAACAAACAGTAACTTCTAAACGCCTCAGGAAAAGTCAGTCATAAAAGAGTAAAATTTGCCTGGAAACAGAAATGTTCCAAGTTAAGACTACTCTGAAAAATTCATACTTTGCGGCAGCCAGAAGATCAAAATGATTCCAGGTTAGCTCACATATGCAGAAAAAAGCAAGTACAATTATACCTTAGCAAGAAGTTATGGGATGGCCCTACTTTCAAAGAAGCTGCCCTCTTCTGGCATTCCAACAGCTAACCAGGTACTTTTAGGAAGTTAGGAAAGGTATCAATGCAAAGAGTACCTCTATTTTCCATATTCATAACTTAAAGATGCTGGGAAGGGAGATGGTAACTAGCATGTACATTCATGGCAAACACTTATGAAGGTGAGTTCAGGTCTCAAGAAGGATCTCAATTAAGACAAAGCACAGGGAAAAGAAACCTTTAGATAAAACTTTCAGCCTACACACTGGCCATGAACCACTGAAGCAACTGAAGTTGCTCAGAAACAAGCAGTTTCAGAGCAACTGAAACTACCAATTAGCTGGAAAATGGAATGTGAAAGGTCAGCTTTGTATTTTAAAGACTTAGAGACAAAGAGCCTGTCAAGCTCCAGATGTGCTGTTCTCTCTTGAGAACAGCAAGAGAGAAAGAACAGCAAATCTCAAGACTGCTGCCAAGAAAGCTTCTCCCCCATCATCTGCTCATAGCTCATGATGACACACACCTGTCATGAGCCACATGGGCTCAACCAACCATAGTTTACCAATGGCACCAATGCAAATCTTTTTTGGAACACAGCTAACTGTGTTTATAATGATTCAGAAACCAAACCCACCTGTCACAAGCTATTAAAAGCATTCCACACATCCACCAGGTTAACTCTGCACTGAAAAAAATGTCATCACTGTAACCAAGCTGTAAATATCGCTACTTCAAGAACCACCACTTGGTTGAAACATGCACCACCTACATGTTTCCTAGCAGGAATTTTCAAGTAGATTTAAAAGCTTATGTCACCTTCATATATTGCAAATAGTTTCACCCTAAATCAGCCAGCACCTAAATTTTTAGAAGTCTGAGGCTAAAACCAAGGGTAAAACAAATATTACATTACTTAGAATGTGAAGACTATTATGTTCTTCTTTTGTAAAGTTATATATTCCCCAGTTAGCACTTATTATTCATGCAGTATCATTCTGCTGCTCTATTTTATGAAATAAATAAAAAAATAACAAAAAGAACATGAATACTTGGTGTTCACACTTAACCGTACACATTTCAGTTACACAAATGGAAACCTCCACGCTTCAAGTGGTACAAGTGAAGACTATCTAGCAATGTCCTAAAATTAATTATTTCAGTCTTGATGATGATTTATCTCAGCTGGTCATCATTACAGCAAGACAACATACTGTTTGTCATATGAAAGGTTTTAATAAATTAATTATTTAATTACCATAATTAATTACTGTATTCTTACACCTAGCATTTGGCTACTTTGACTTCTGATGCTTGAACTTTGCTTAACACAAAATCAGCAAAGTATATGATGATATTTTACCTCTATTTTCTACTAAGACAGCAGTAGTTATTATTTCTTAGTTCTAGTAGGTTTACAATTTCATTTAGCATTTTAAGACAGGGTACAAATTCATTATATCATGGAAACATACATTAGCTATTGTGTAACAGAAGTGTTATTTTAAAAAAACGTTTGATTAGGTATTAAGAGAATTAAAGCTTTGCATCCTTCATTAGTCATCTTTTCTTTGCATGACTGCCCTGAACATCCAGAACCAAAACATTTCAACCCTCTCTGCAAATACATACGCTTAAAGCTTTAATGTAGATCTGTACACAAATGCTTTTAACATTGATGTTTAATATAAGTTGAAGTAATGTGCCATGATGAGAGTAGTTCAAAGTCATTTGCAAAACCAATAAAGCATTCTGGTTTTATGTTAAAATTGGACTCATTTTTGAAGCGCTGCAAGTCTGATCAGTTGGGTTTTTTTCTGTACCATATTCTGGGGGATGAACAAGTTTGCACCTAGGACAACATCCAGGAAAAAAAGAAAGCCACCAAGCCACCAGTTTTG